ATTTTCTGGTAATATTTCCAAAAGCTCTGTTACTGAGAGAAATTTAAGTTTGCGATCAGTATTGGCTTCACCTGGTGGATATGCAGCAACTGGTAAATGGCAAAAGTTGTGTAACAGGATTCCAGAGCATGATAGGAGTAATGTCCACAGAGAATGTTATCTAACTTAGCGAGAATTAGAAAGACATTTTTTATTTGGAAAGGTTTATTGAAACTTACTTGGAAAGCTCGATTAAATTGCAATCAACAAAATGGTCCAATATTCTTAAAAGAATATTAGATGTTATCCTATTTTTGGGTGAACGTGGATTGGCTTTTCAGGGATCCTCCCAGCGAATTGGAGATGTAGATAATGGCAACTTTTTGGGTCTTATAGAGTTACTTTCACATTGGGACCCAATACTTAAAGAGCATGTATTGTCAGTGGAAGAATCTCAGCGAAAAGGCAAAAGACTTCAAGTTCATTATCTATCAGCTGATACTCAAAATGAATTCATTGCAGAATGCTCAGATTTGGTGTGACAGCATATTTTACAAGAAAGAAGATCTGTTAAGTATTTCGCAATAATGGTCGATGCAACACCAGATTCATCACATACAGAGCAAACAACATTCATATTACGATATGTAATATTAAAAGATTCACAATATGAAACTGTTGAACGATTTCTAACATATGTAGATTGCAACAATAAAACTGGGGATGAAATATCTCAAATGATAGTGAAACATTTCAACATAACTCCATTCCTCTCTCAGATTGCAGGGCACAAGCATATGACAATGGATCAAATATGGCTGGAAATTACAATGGTGTGCAAGTCAAAATACTTGAGTTATGTCCATTAGCACTATTTTCCCCTTGTGGATGTCACACACTTAATCTTGTGGGAAATGATGCGGCAGAATGTATTCCTAAAGCTGTAACATTTTTTGGAATGATTCAAACAGTATATAATTTGTTCAGCTCAAGTCCAAAATGATGGGAGATATTATCAAAACACATCAATTGCTCACTAAAAGGAATGTCACATACAAGGTGGTCAGATCGTGTTGAAAGTGTCAAACCTTTTGCAGCACAACTTCCTGGGATTAAATTGTCATTGGAAGAGCTTTAAGAATTAAATTTAACTTCTAAAACAAGAGCTGAAGTAGAAGGTGCCTTATATTATATTAATTCATTTTCCTGCATAATAATGTCATCGATATGGTACTTACTGAGACAACTTCTTGAGCTTCGGAATAAATGGAAAGATATCTGGTCAGAATCAAAGAATGTTGCAATGAATTTGGATATAGAAGTCAAACTATCAAGAGGACGTGGTGGCGTGAATCGCAAAAGAGCCAGAGTTGTTAGCGAGTCAGAGGATCAAGGGTTTACAGATTTAAATGAAGATGAGACCATGGAGGAATCATGCTTTAGAAGATTTGTTTTCTTTGTAATATTAGATAGTGTTATTGGTGGCCTTACTGTAAGATTCAAAGCAGCACAGACATGGCCTTCTATAATAACAGGCCTTGACATCGCGCTATAAAGTTGCCAGACTAGAGGCCGATTTATAATACTGTGTTTACATTTCCTCTTTTAACTTTACAAAAAAGATTTAGTTTGCGCTTTTAGAGCAGATTTTTCAAATTCGATTGGTTAGGTTTGGTTAGAGCGCAACTTTAAGACGTAAAAGTTAACTTCATAACACTGGCTTGAGTATTTTTAAACTCATATAAAGTTACTTGAGTAGTAGTAGAAGATGCCTTTAAAATGCTGCATACCTCTCTGCAAGTCAAACTATCACTCGACTGAATCAAAAATATCGATATATAAATTCCCAAAAAATCCAGAGGAAAGAAAAAAATGGAGAGATGTCATCCCAAGAGCAAATTTCTCTATTTCTGACTATACAGCAGTATGTCGACTGCATTGGCATGATGATGCACCTTTTGAAACCAAGTATGGAAAACAACGACCATTAAACCCACCATCTGTTTTTAAAAATATTCCGCCTAGTTGTTTACCAACACCATCGAATAAAGTCAGAAAAACTGTAACTTCAAGAGGATTTCGAAATGTCTTTCCAGACGAGTTTAATGTTTTTCTAAAAGACGATGAACTTTCATTCGCCGAAATTCAATCTATTTTCATTAATAGCAATGATGTTATTGTTTTTCAATTTAACAAAAATAGTGTGCATATACAGTCAAAAATGTACAAACTTGGAGTTCCATTGTTTCTTTTGGAAATTTTCGATAATTATTCATTCTCAGCTTACCATAATGGCACAACTTGCAATATCTCATCTTTAACTGCAAACAATTTAAAATTAATAAAAACAAGATCTGCTTTATTTGAAGCAGTTAGATTTTTAAAACATAAAGAGAGTTCTCATCAATCTAATATTCTATTTGAGCACCTTAATGTGATGAGAAAAGTTAGTGTTGGTGAAGTATTATATACTCCAGATATTATATGTAGAGCGTATGAGTATTTTGCTATGCGACGTAGTTTATATGATCGTTTGTGTGTTGACTACAAGTTGCCCAGTATACGCACTTTAACACAACTGACCTCAAAAATTAGTTCTATGGAGGACCTAAACTTCATAAATAG